CATGTAGCAATTGTTTCCTGGAATCCTCCTGCCTTTAGCTCAGGCAGGCAAAAAGGTGTGCTAAGCTGAGAAAACCCCTCCTCCTCTCCTGAAGACTCCTAGGATGGATTGAATAATTTGCCTAAGCATGGAAACTAGGAAGTAACTTAAGAAATGGTAAAAACAGTTCAAAGTGGTTTTAAAGCCTTGTGTGTCTAGGGGACACACAGAGCATGGATCAGTCCTGCCCCTGTTCCCTCCTACCTGGCTGTGAGTTACAGCAGTGGTTTCTCTCTGCTGTGTCCCAGCCAATGAGGAAAGAGAGAGTCCCAGGAGAGCAGCTACTCTCATGCACATCGCTAAATCAAGATTGGGCTCATGTAAGAATTGTGGTGGTGGTGGTGGTGGGGGGGGGGGGGGGGTACTGCAGTGGGAGCTGTATCCTGAAGGTTTTTACCTTCATGCATAAAATGCATAAAGATAGAAGTACCTTCAGCCTTTAGAGCCATAAGGATAAGGATTTAAAATAGTTAATGTTGATTGAGAGAGTAAAGTTCCACTTTAAAATTGCCCTAAAACTTTGACCAATAGTGGTCCATGAATCACAGTCTGGGAAATGCTGGGGTATGCTTTCCAGAATCCCCCTTACTGTGATCCTAAGGCCCATGTCATATTCTAGGATTACATCTGTACCCTGGCCTGTGTGGCATGAGCAATATTTGTACTTTTATATGTAGCGCCACCCCCCTAGGAGTCGCTTGGTAATTTTGAGTTCCCTGTTCCATGACTCAACCCCAAGAACAACCTCAGCCCCTCTGGCACACCTGGTTAGATAAAATCACTGCAAACACAAGTGCAAACAACACCAAAAAGATATTATAGAGATTGCAAGATAATGCTTTACTAGAGATTATTTTGTCAACAAAGATGACAAAGTGTAAACTGTGGATATTCCCCCGAGTTGCAAGGTTTAGCATTAAACAGAGTTCTAGCAATATGCAATGAAATGGCAATACCAGTAAACCTGACTGTAGGGCCAACAGACCTCAGGTAAGCCTTTGATCCCAGGAGTAAGAGGGGGAAGAAAAGAATCTTGATCAGTCAGCTCCCTCTAAGCCCTGATGCCACAGGCAAAATAAGGCAATATATGAAATCTGGGTAAGAGTTCCCTTTTAAAATAACTGAGTCAGCAATAATGATAAAACAGTCAGTGACAACTCTGTAGATGGAACCCTTTGAATAGAGAAATCCTAGAGGTAGATGTATCCTTGGTCTTCAGCTAGCTTATGGTGAGACCCAGAGATGTCACTGTGCAATGGCAACTAGCAGAATGAATGAGATAGTGAATGGTACTCCCCAACAGAAGCCTTTAAGTAGGCAAAGAGAGATAAAATATCGGTGTCTGCATGGAGAGAATTGTTTGGCTTACACCCGCTCACCAGACCCCTGTGAGATGACACAACCGAAATCTGCTGTGGAAGATAAGGCTCCTGGCAGAGTAGAATGTTACCTCCTGACAACCCATCAGACCGTGGGTAATGATGCCTACAAGATGCTCAGCGGTGGCTGACCTGATTTCTTAACGGTCCCTGGAATGCTGAGAGTCACCCTGCGGAGCAGGGAGCTGGTAGACTGCCGAGCAGGGTTCACTTTTTGAATGGTGGAACTGCGGCCTGGTCCTCCAGGGGAAAAGTCCCACTCCCCTCTGCCAGCCTCCAAAACCCCACGCCAAGAGAGCCAGCATGGCTGCTGCAGGGAAATTTATCTTTCTCTCCCCAGAATCCCTTTTGGGTTTTCTTCCTTCTGGTATTTGTAGTCCAGATAATGCAGTACAGTGGCTAAGTGGTTATCACTTCTACCTGGCAGTACTAGGGTCGCTGGTTCAAATCCCAGCCATGGCACCACCTGCCTGGAGTTTGAATGTTCTCCCTGTGCCTGCGTGGGTTTCCTCTGGCTACTCTGGTTTCCTCCCACACTCCAAAGACATGCAGGTAAGTGAATTGGTTCCTGTCTAAATTGGCCCTAGTATGTGTATGTATGAATGTGAGTTAGGGACCTTAGATTGTAAACTCATTGAGGATTAGGGACTGATGTTAATGCACAATATATATGTAAAGAGCTGTGTAAATTGATGGCGCTATATAAGTACCTGAAATAAATAAATAATGCTGCAGAATACAGTGTAATTAGGCTGTGTGACTATGAGTCGCAAGATCCTTTGCTTTCCAGACACACTTCCCACTCTGCATTGAATGTTTTTACTCTGCACTGAATGCTAGAGGGGAAGAAGGGTATTCTCAGTCTGTGCAGCAAATGTCTCTGAATTGCAGAATGACCCAGCCTGTACCCGGCTACATACATTTTATGCGAGTTGTAAAATTAATTTGTAAATGCTGGAATCTAAAGTCCCATACATACTGGTATGTCATTTTGAGTTGTGCATTCCCGTAGATTTATATGATTATGGAAAACAATCTTGAACAAACAAAAGCCTGTCACCACAGGTCTTTACTATCCAAGTCAAAGTAAACCCATGCATTTGATAATTATCACCTAACTACAGACTTGTGAAAAGTAGAAGTGGCAACCCAGTGGACACACTTGTCTAAATAGTCATCATTCCTCCAATAGCCCCAAAACACACTACGGTAGTTAGGTGATTGACTTGCAGCCAATCTGGCCCTAGAATGTGTATTAAAAGTGCTGAAAGTAGGGATATTGAATAGAATCCTTCTAATGGGAATTGTATGTGCTCTGTACTGCACTAAGGACTATATTAGGGCAATATAAATATAAGGAATTAAAATTTTCTTAATAAGAGGATTTTCATGATGGCTGTTAATTCCTCATTGCTTCTCACCACGTATCTTCGAACTGCACATGTTGTTTATTGTTGCTCATTACTAGCATGCTGTCATTTGCTTAGGAAACGTCACCTGCAGCTAGATGCACTAATGGGTAATTGTTTTTTCAAGAGGATACCAGAATGAGAAAGAAGCTTTATCTAACTTGTCTCTCAAATAGACGCTTCCAAGCTTCATCCCCGTACTATAAATTATTCTATGCTGAGAGTGTGAAATCCATATTCTGACTCATATTCTATGTAAAACGCAGCAGTTAGTTTTTATAACTGGATTCCCTTGTGAGGCCCCAAGGGCACAGGCTGACACAAGTCCCATTAGTCACCGATCTCATCTGATACATTTCCACTGAGCATATTTCTTCTATGATATTTATTAAGACATATTTTTGGAATAGACATAAAACCCCTCAGATTTCTTACAACTGCCGCAGGTTCCCAATTAATAAATTTGACCAAACATTACAAAAAGCAGTTTAAAAAAAAAGGGGGCATTTCGGGTAAGAAATAAACTAAACAGACTGCCAGTGCTGTTCATCAAACTTTACAACCGTGCTGAAATCCACTCGATTTACCTTGTAGTAATATTAAACTCTAAATTTGTAAGCACTTTGAGCTGCTGATTTAATCACGTACTGAGTATGCAGCTTCTTTATTATCTCTTTTTTTTTGGCTCCTCTTTCTGTCAGCGGCCTGCATGCAGGGACTAGAGTTGTGCCTCCCTACACAGTGTGCATCAAAAGAAACACACAATACTGTCAACTAGGACTTTTTGTTCATCCGCCCTTTCATCCATCCATTTATAGAGAGCTTTTCATTGCTGAAAGGTAGTATAGCGCCAGTGAATGGAGGAGAGGTGGAAATAGCAGGCATAGTCAACACTCTTAACAAGTGCCTATGACAGGTCCAATGGCTTGTATTAACCCCCACAGCACTGGAAGGTTTCCTGCAAGTGCTAGGGTAAGAATTCTGAATAGTTTACTGAAAAATGTTTATTTTATTGTGCTTAAAGTGCTAAGCTCAAACATTCTAGCTGTGTAATATTTCTTTAAACTAAAGAAACAGAACTTTCCGAGGCTTTAACAATGAATATGAACTATACTGCAAGACAAGGTTGGGAATATCTGGCTTGCTGTTTCACAAGACTTTGCAGATGGGGTTTCTGAACCCCATGCCCAAGGTGATTTTAATAGCCAGGGGGTAGGTAAGCCTTTTTCCTTGCATGCATTTCAAGGTTTAAAGGAAACCTCCGCTTTTGTTAAAAGATTTTTATAACATAACTAATTGCTATACAAGAATTTTCCTAATGGGGCAGCACAGTGACTAAGTGATTAGCACTTCCAGCTAGCAGCACTAGGGTCATCGGTTCGAATCTTAGTCATGGCACTACCTGCCTGAAGTTTGCATGTTCTCCCTGTGTGCTTGCATGGGTTTCCTCCCACACTCCAAAGACATGCTGGTAGGTTAATTGGCTCCTGTTTAAATTGGTCCTAGTATGAGTGAATGTGAGTTAGAGTCCTTAGATTGTAAGATTCTAGAGGGCAGGGACTGATGGGAATGTGTAATACATACCGTATTTTTCGCTCCATAAGACGCACTTTTTTCTCCCCAAAGAATGTAAAGCGTCCGGTCCGGTATTTCTGCGGCCACCATGTCAGAATATTGGGCCGGCCACTCAGCTCTTCTCTCCTGCAGAACCTTACCTGTTCTTCGCTCCAGTGCTGCAGTCTTCCTGCGGCGGCTTCTGTGACAGCCGGGTGCCCACTGCGCATGCGCGAGAAGAGCTGCGCTTTGTGAATGGTCCGGTGTCTTCTGGGACACATGACAGGTCCCAGAAGGCTCCGGGCCATTCACAAAGCGCAGCACTTCTTGCGCAGTGGGCACCCAGCTGTCACAGAAGTCGCCGCAGGAAGAAGAAGGAAGGACAACTCCGTGGAAGTGGGAGCGGGTACCTGTCAAATTCAGGTACCCGTCCCCCCTCCCTCCCCAAAGGTCTGCAGTCTCTGGTAATCTCCTTTACTGTCTGCAGTCTCTGGTCATCCCCTGCACTGTCTGCAGTCTCTGGTCATCTGTACTATGTCCAAAGTCTCTGGTCATTCCCTCTACTATGTCCGCAGTCTCTGGTCATTCCCTGTACTGTGTCCACAGTCTCTGGTCATTCCCTGTACTATGTCCGCAGTCTCTGGTCATTCCCTGTACTGTGTCCACAGTCTCTGGTCATTCCCTGTACTATGTCCGCAGTCTCTGGTCATTCCCTGTACTATGTCCGTAGTCTCTGGTCATCTGTGCTGTCCACAGTCTCTGGTCATTCCCTGTACTGTGTCCAAAGTCTCTGGTCATTCCCTGTACTATGTCCGCAGTCTCTGGTCATTCCCTGTATTGCGTTCACAGTCTCTGGTCATCTCCTGTACTGTGTCGCGCAGTCTCTGGTCATCTCCTGTACTGTGTCAGCAGTCTCTGGTCATCTCCTGTACTGTGTCCGCAGTCTCTGGTCATTTCCTGTACTGTGTCCGCAGTGTCTGGTCATCCCCTGTACTGTGTCCGCAGTCTCTGGTCTCTGGTCATCCCCTGTACTGTGTCCGCAGTCTCTGGTCATCCCTTGTACTGTGTCCGCAGTCTCTGGTCATCCCTTGTCTCTGGTCATCCCTTGTACTGTCCGCAGTGTCTGGTCACTTCCTGTACTATGTCTGCAGTCCATTGGTTCAGAATATTTTTTTTCTTGTTTTTCTCCTCTAAAACCTAGGTGCGTCTTATGGTCAGGTGCGTCTTATGGAGCGAAAAATACGGTATATGTAAAGCACTGCAAAAAAATTGATGGCGCTATATAAGTACCTGTAATAAATAAATAAAATAAATTCCATGTTATTACAAATTTATTACAAATTACCTCTGTATTTCAATATGCAGACAGCTCTGGTTTCTAAAAACTGCAAAAAGAAGTAAATGTTACTCCTCTGTAACCACAAGCAATTCGGGTTTTTTCATAACAAAAGGGGAGTTTCACTTTAAAGGCTAAATTCACCATTTGACTAAAAGTGACTATGTAGTCAAGTGGCCCCAGGGAATTAAACACTGTGCAGCTTAGAAAATGTTTGCTTAGTCTAAATGCTATACCTTTAGGCCATGAGCTGCACCCATAAGGCCTGGTAAAAAAAACTGCTATTGTAAGGGGTCAGTTCCATTCTGCCTAAAAGCTAGGATGCACCTTACATTGAGCACTCGCTCCCAGCATCACAGGAACGAGTGGTCTCCCTCCTTTCAAATCCATGCATGTGCAGTATGCTCTTCCTGTCCTTGAAGCTGCAGGGGCTCAGCTCAGCTCAGCAATATAATGTATAAAAGAAAAAAAGGATTTGATAATAGATGATGCACACCCAATGTATACTATTACCTAGATAAGAGTGTGCTCCATAGTGTGTGCGCCCAAAGTAAAGATATATAGAAAGTGATGACACAAAGTAAAAACAAAATTTATGTGAAATTACACTTACCCATTTCGTAATGTTGTAATGCCATTTGGTGATATAGTGTATGCACCCAGTGTGAAGAAGGAAAAAAAAGTGACATACCTAAAACCAAGACACAAGAACAAACCTCTGTCTAAAGACAAGACACTATCCGAAGAAACCCATAAATAACAGATCTTCAATTTCTCATTAAAACCTTAGGGATTCGCTGTATCTAATCTTGCTTCCAACTGAAATATATAAAATCTCCTCCTTGAAGATTTCCTTTAGGTTGTTCCACTCCACATACCATAAGTATGATTGAAGAACTACCATTATCCATCAAAAATGATTTGCCACTGTGGAGTGGCTTCTTTAGTGCCACGCTTCTGCTTGCTAGATTTATAAAGGAATTATAGGCTAACACATAACTCATTTTTGGTCTGTCCTTTGTATTTCTTTCCACAGGGAAATGAGCTTGCATAAATCACTCTTTTTGCAACAACAGTTGATACAATTCTAAATCAGATTTTTGTTAGTTCTATTACAGTCTTTAGCACAGGTTCACACCGGTGTGACTTGTCATGCGATTTGACAGTTTCAAATTGTGTGACAAGTCGCACCCTATTGTCGGCAATGGAGCCGTTCAAATTGGTGTGACTCTGACTTTGTGGTGCTGCACCGATTTGGAAAAAGAAGGTTCCTGCACTATTTTTTTATGACTTCAGATGTGACTTGCATAGAAATCTGTGCAGGAAGTTACATAGATGTTATCCAAGTCGTATCTGAAATCGCACTGACATTAAGCTCTGAAATTTGTGTCCTTTTTTCCCCACAAATAGAGCTTTCTTTTGGTGGTATTCGATTGGCTTTGCGTTTTTAGTTTTTTTGTGCTATAAACAAAAAAATAAAACTGACAATTTTGAAAAAAAAAAACCCTATATTTTTGACTTTTTGCTATGATAAACATGTCCAGTAAAAAATTTAAGAAATCAAATTTTCATACAAAATTTAGACCAAAATGTATTCTCCTACATGTCTTTGCTTTAAAAAAATCCCAGTACATATAAATTAATTGGTTTACATGAAAGTTATAGCGTTTACAAATGGTGGTATATATACTGGACATTTCTGGCACTGGGGGTGAAACTGAGTTTGGTGTCACTGACATCTCCAGTGACACCAATACAATGATCAGTGCTAATAAAAAAGCACTGACACTGTACTAATGGCACTGGGCAGGAATGGGGGTTAACATGTGTAGCGATCAAAGGGTTAACTGTGTGCTCTTTTTTGCTGTGTGTGCTGTGTGTAATTTCACACTGTAAAGCACACTGCTTTGTATGGCTCTGCTATGCAGAACCGATACAAAGCAGTGTGCAGGAGCTCACAGGGGAGAGATCTGTGTTGTTTATACACAGGTCTCTCCCCATTGGCGATTGCTGGGTGTCGGGGCGGGGAAATAACCGGGGGACCCTAGTGATTGACTGCCAAGGTTGCGACTACCTAGAACCTGCAAACTTACGTACAGTCATTGCCGAAATTGTTGGCACCCTTGATTTTTTCCTGAAAATCAAGTATTTCACACAAAAAAGGTATTGCATTAACACATGTTTTGCTATACACATGTTTATTCCCTTTGTATGTATTGGAACAAATATAAAACAGAGGCAGAAAAGCAAATATATGACATAATGTCACAACAAAACCCCCAAAATGGGCTGGACAAAAGTATTGGCACCCTTAACTTTTTAATATTTGGTTGCACACCCTTTTGGAAAAACATAACTGAAATCAGTCGCTTCCTATAACCATCAATAAGCATTCTGACACCTCTCACTCCGGACATTTTTGGACCACTCTTCCTTTGCAACTAGCTCCAGGTCTCTCTTATTGGAAGGACACCTTTTTCCCCAACAGCAATTTTAAGATCTCTCCACAGGTGTGTTCAACGGGGGATTTAGATCTGGGCTCATTGCTGGCCACTTCAGAACTCTCCAGCGCTTCTTTGCCATCACATTTCTGAGTGCTTTTTGACGTATGTTTGGGGTCATTGTCCTGTGGAAGACCCCAGGATCTTGGACGCAAACCCATGCCTTTCTGACACTGGGCCCTACAGTGCGACCCAATAATCCTTTGGTAATCCTCAGATTCATGATGCCTTGCACACAGTCAAGGCACCCAGTGCCAGAGGCAGCAAAACTAAACCCCAAAACATCATTGAACCTCCACCATATTTTACCGTAGGTACTGTGTTTTGTTCTTTGTAGGCCTCATTCCGTTTTCGGGTAAACAGTAGAATGATGTGCTTTACCGAAAAGCTCTATCTTGGTCTCATCTGTCCACAAGGACGTTTTCCCAGAAGGCTTTTGGCTTACTCAAGTACATTTTGGCAAACTGTAGTCTTTGCTTTTTATGTCCTCTGTGTCAGCAGTGGGTCCTCCTGGGTCTACCTGCCATAGCGTTTCATTTCATTTAAATGTCGACGGATAGTTCGCGCTGACACTGATGCTACCCTGAGCCTGCAGGACAGCTTGAAATGTGTCTTTGGAACATGTTTGGGGTGCTTATCCACCATCCGGGGACTATTGCTGCGTTGCAATCTTTCATCAATTTTTCCTCATCCGTCACCGACCAGGGAGATTAGCTACAGTGCCATGTTTTGCAAAAATTCTCCTTGATAATGTTGCGCACTGTGGACAAAATGGCAAATCTAGTTCTCTGGAGATGGGACTTGTAACCTTGAGATTTGTTGATATTTTGCCACAATTTTGGTTCCTCAGAGTCCTCAGACAGTTCTCGTCTCCTCTTTCTGTTGTCCATGCTTAGTGTGGCACAGACAGACACACAATGCAAAGGTTAAGTGAACGTCTCTCCTTTTTATCTGCTTTCAGGTGTGATTTCTATATTGCCCACACCTGTTACTTGCCCCAGGTGAGTTTACAGGAGCATCACATATGCTTGTAACATTCTTATTTATCCGCAGTTGTGAAGGGTGCCAATACTTTTGTTCCAGCCCATTTTTGGAGGTTTGGTGACATTATGTCGAATTTGCTTTCTTTCCTCCCTTTTTTTGTTTTGTGTCCCAATACACACAAAGGGAATAAACATGTGTATAGCAAAACATGTGTTAATGCAATACGTTTTCGTGAGAAATACATGATTTCCTGGAGAAATATCAAGGGTGCCAACAATTTCGGCCATGACTGTATATATACATGATTTTGTGCACCCGTGCCACCTGTAGCAGTATTTCTGCTATAGGGAGGCACAGAAGTGGTTAATCTGATGTGCATTGTTTACAAATAGAGAATACCACAGAGTAGCTAACTGTGTGCACATTACTCCTTTTGTCCATTTTTCCTTAACCCCAAAAAATGTCTCTGACACAAAATGTCTCTTAAAGAAGGTCTCTCTATTTGCAACAATGGATGGTTTATCTCTGAAATATTTCCTTAAAGTATTATTCTTACATAGTACCAGCCAGTATTTCATGAAGCATTGTTGTCTGGAGTGGTTACGAAGAAGAACACAAGGGGGCGCCGGGAATGGGACCTTCATATTATGGTGCTTATTTCAATCTCCTCATTGAGAGACCCATTGGTGCCAACATGTCTAACATATAAATCCAATGGGTCCTTGTTGAAACATTTTTGAAAACATTGAGCCAGGGAGTATGTGCTGGGAATACCCTCTATAACCCAAATTCCCTGGCTGAATGTTTCAAAATATTATGCAAACAAGAGACCTATTGGATTTCCCCTTTCTTATAAATTAATATTATGGATAAAGCCAGGGGCAGACTAACAACTCACAACTCATGGGGCCCCCAGGCAATAGGGGATCATGGGGCCCCTGTGTCCTTGCCCAAACTCAAAAAAAGCCTATGAAAAAGGTACCAGGGGCATCTCATGGGGCCCCCTACTGACCCCGGGCCCTCGGGCAGTGCCCGAGTTTCCAAATGGTCAGTCCGCCCCTGGATAAAGCCCTAATTGGTGACCAGTGCCCTTTTTGGTTTAATATAATGATCATTTTTTACTAATTATTATAATAGTTGTCTACTACTTCCTTCACAACAATAATTATTAAATAATAATTGTTTACTAATCCGTCTATCTTTTTAGTTGCCTTTTATTAATACTTTTTTAATACAATATCCTTTTAAAAGTATAAATTCTTGCTTTTTAGGTATATATACATATATCACATTGTAAATGTGTAGTGCTCTGATTGTCTTTATTTATTGTATGTGCAAGGGCTTTTTTTAGTCTCTAGCGATCTTCTTGACGTCTTTGTTCCTTTGGGACCACCCTCATCCCACCTATCCATTCCTTAGCATCAATATAAAATTTGACAATAGCCTATTAGATTTGACAAAGGAGCTGATTGGCACTACAAAACGCTTTACCCGGGTGACGACGGCTGCGGGATCCATTTCCTATAACGCAATTTCTGGTTGTGCGGTCCACGGTGTTTTGTGACACCAGTTCTGGTTCCACACCCCGCTTCGACCCCGGAAGTTGGTGCCTCTGTGCAGCATGGAAGTCAAGCGTGTTCCCTGATTGGCCCTGGTCCCATCCACTGCTGCTGATACAATCCCAATGCCGGATGTCCACACCGCTGTTGATGTGACTCATAAATAGTTTTTATTTACCGTTATTTATACCTATTATCCTTCTCCACATTGAAGGCTTCCGCCATATATTTTGTGTATACGTATGTAGTGGTTAGCCTAACTATATTTGAAATAGTCTTATACGTGGCATAAGTAGGTTTTCTTGGTTAGATTTATGCTCATCCTATATCATTGAATTTAGTTATTGTAAAATGCAAATGTTTTAAATATGTCTCTATGTCTGTGCAGTTTCTAGGTACTTGTAGTAATCGTTGCATTGACATACCTTAACAGTTTTCACCCTCCAGCACTCTGTTAAGGTATGTCAATGCAACGATTACTACAGAACTGTTTGTGTCTGTGATTGAGGTCGGGTTATTGAAGGTCAGCTGGATGACTTAACAGGTTGTGGCTCTGTTGTCTCCTCCTGACTCTGGAGGACCATAGAGTTGTCCAGAAGTCGGTAAGCAGGAAAGAGTGGAGACCTAATCTGCATGTTTATGGGAGTCCAGCCACTCCCAGTTTGGAGGCCCTGGTAGAGAAGTGGACTGGCCCATTAATATGGGAGAGTCAGGCTGACAGAGGAGTCATGTGGAAGATGGAGTGCTGAAGAGACTGTCGGTGCCTGGGAGGGGTCTCGAAGGTCTTGGGGGGGCCCTCTAGGCTGGCCTCTGGCTGGCTCAGAAGGATACATTTAGCAGTGAGGCATGAATGGGATTGAGACCTGGGGCAGCAGGGAGCAAAGAGGACATAGTGAGTGCAGAAACACTCCCTGGGATCTACAAGGGGAAAGTGCTGTTCTCAGTCCTTTATCCTTGTCCTGGGAGATCTTCCGGGCAGCCAGGAGGGCTGGCAGTGTTTGCAGGCTGTGGAGCTGGGAGCAGCTCTACAGATGGAGAGAAGATATCTCTGCATGTAGTTACGAGACGCTAAGCTGTTTTTTGAGGAACTGCTAGTTCCTCGCCCATAAAGGGCTGTTGCTACTAGTCCACAATGACTGCCGTATTTCAAGAAAAGAACACATTCCAGGATCTGTCTTTGTATGTAGGGAGGAAGTTGTTCATTGTTTCAAGCCAACTGGACATCCCATAATCCCTATTTCCCTTTCCAAGTTATTTCCCCTAATAAATAACAAAAACAAGCCTGCGGACTGCTTACTGTCTCTTGGATGCAAGCTTGGGTGTGGAAAAATACCTGGCTGTGCAGAGAGAGCTTAGGGGTACCCACAACACAGCGGCCCTCACAAGGGAAGCGCTACATCTATAATATGAAGATATCATCTATGTATCAAAACCATCTGAAAATGCATCCATGATATTTATCAAATTTTAGGCAAAACATGAATTCCTGATTGCTGCAAATAATATTTTTTGCTGAACATGAAGTAACTATGAGGTCAATACATTTATTAAGAAGTTCCATGTGGTGTTGTGCATCCATACTAAATAATGTGTTACAGCGTCAAATTGCCAAATTATGGAATATGTTAGAGCAGCAATTCTTAACCAGGGTTCCTTGGAGCCTTCAGATTCCTCCAGAAGTTCCTAAGGGTTCATTGAGCTATGGTTGATTTAACTCCCATTTGATGGTGCCTGCATAGTTGCAGAACAAAGGCCACTTGACAAAGCCAGCAGCATGACACCAATTATCTTTTTAGCTAGCTGTAAGGTTTTTTTACTCTGTTCACTACTGTAAGAGCTTCATCCTTCCTACTGACTTCCAATGAATAAGGCATTTTCCCCATTGCTCCCAGGATAGTTAATTTCAGTAGGGTTCCTCAAGATTTGAAAATTATTCTAGGGTATGGGCACATGCGCAAAGCTGAGCCGACCCGATATGTCTATCTAGAGCTCCGCTCCACCGCGGGACACACAGCTGCTTGAAGCTGCCACCAGACCACTTCACTGGCATCGGCCACACTGTATACCCCCGGTAAGCACCCAGGACCTGGTGATATGGTCTCAGGGAGGGTCCCGGGAAAGCCCAAGTCTAAAAGTATCTGAGAGGTGCTGGCACGGGCCTCCGCCATTCTCTGACACAAGCACGGCTCGCTCTTCCAAACCAAAACCTCCAGCCCTCAGGGAAGAAACAGAGTCAGACTCAGAGCTTCTAGCCTCACCTCTGCTATCATGCCCTCCTCCCTACCCTCAGACATCAAACAGTTTGAGAGGATGCTCCATATGGCTCTTAAACAGACCTCTGACAAAATCACAGTGTTTATATATAGAGAGATTCGAGAGCTGGGCCAGCGCACCTCTGACCTGGAGCAGAGAACGGATGACATGGAGGTCATTATTAGTAACCACTCAGATGAATTAGAGGCCCTCTGGGAAGATAGCCTCAACCTGCAATCACAATTAAAGGATTACGAAAACAGAGCCAGACGCTCTAACCTCAGAATTCGGGGAATCCCCAAATCTGTTGTTAAAAAAACTGGCACCATCCATTTCCATTGAACGACTCAAATTAGACAAGGTCCACAGAGCCTTAGCCCCATGAAAACCTGAGGGCCCTCCACAGGATATCATTGCAAAGCTTCACTACTACTGCATGAAAGAACAACTTCTGTCAGTTGCCCGCCAACGGGAAAAACCCTCTCCTTCCAAGGTCACAAGTATCAATTGTTCGCTGACCTCTAGCAACTCACCATCACCAAACACAGACCCTTTAAACCACATGTGTTGATGCTACAACAACACCGCATCACTTACACCTGGGGGTTCCCCTTTTGCCTTCATTTCACTTACCAGGGCACCAAACATACCTGCAAGACCCTCGAGGAACTTCAGACACTCCTGCAAGATCTATGCCTATCTCCTCCATCATCCTCTCACATGGACCACTGTCGCTGCTCTGCCTCATGTTCTCCTCAAAAGGCAACCTCACTGAACCAGGGTGATAAACGATTGAGGATTCACCAAATGTGGTCGTTTTGCCTCCCCGGCTCTAGACCCACCTGATACCATGGATTGATGAAATCCTGAAGAAATCCTCTATTTTACTCTCCTTTTCCAGACACCATCTGGAACTCATGTTTGCCCCACTTTTGCCCTATTTGGGCTCTTTTTCAATGTTTTTCACAGACAAGTAATGACTACATGTTAACCACTGCAGTCCCACACAAGCACCTGAACTTGAAAATACTTTACTGGAACATTTATTAAGTTTATATGGGCTCCCCTAGGCTAAGGGTTGTGGAAAAATACCTTTCCGCTTCCCTCAAAATTACCTCCCAAATCCACAAGCTGTTTCATGTCACAATATTGTATGGTCTCTTGGAGAATAACTTGCTTTTTAAATCTCAGGTTCTCATGTCTTTTGCAGGCATAACGCTGACCTTAACATAAAGTCATACAAATTTTTATATAATACCTCTCCAAGAACCCATGTAACCTAGGAGAATAAATGACCTCCCACGTCTCACGATGTTTACATCAAAATCTCCCACTGGACCTGGTAATCCACCTAGACCATAAATACAAGGTCCTCTAATTCCCTGCAAATCTTTTACTCAATGGAAGTCCCTGGTAACCTCAAAACAGACTTAGCAGGAGCCCGGTTTTGTTCCTTTTTATATGGTTAGAATCGCTATAGACCTGTACAATTTACACCCATTATTCCCAGGCTACTTACTCCATGTGATCTACCTACCCATCAGACCCCCCTCGGTTTCTGGTTTGTAGTTATACAGTTTTTTACATAAGGCCTCCTAAGGTCTATATTAACATTTATTATTGCAATATTTTTCTATGGCTGTTGTGTTCTCTGATGGTTGACACTGCTACCCGCAATCTTGCCCTGAACTCCCCTAAGTGGGTACTCTTAGGACAACATTTTGCCCCCAGGTTGGAAACCTTACTCCCAACCAGGTTGGACAACTTTACATCTCTACTGTCTAAGTCTATCTCTAATTTCTATATGATAGCCTATTACTCAAACTACCTCTTCCTTAGGCCCTTTCACACTCCCCCTCCCCTGCCCCCCATGTCACTTCTCCCTAGCCCCGAGGGATGCCCACATCATAATAGCGCTCTAATCTCAAGCTTACACTCTTATACTTCACCATGGCTGATTTCTCCCCAAAAAAGAACTAAAGCTCATGTGGTCTTCTTGCAAGAGAACCACTTTACTAAGTTCCACACTTCAAAATTCTTTAGCGCCTCCTACGCCCAAGTGTACTCTGCTTCTGTAGACTCTAAGCAAAGGGGGGGTCTAATAGCTTTCCACCGCACAGCCTGTTCACTCTTCCAGCAGAAATCAGGGACCCAGAGGGAAGATATATCATTCTCATAGACCTTCTCCTCGACATGGAAGTCACCGTGGTGTCTTATTGTGCTCCTAACCACAACCCAACTCCCTTTCTTTCCTATCTAATGAGTGTAGTGGACTCACGTAAACAGGGCACCTTGTTACTCTGCGGCGACTCTAATCAAGTAACCTACCCTTTTCTGCACAAATCCCCTACCACCACCAACCCAACCAACTACACCCTACAACACTTGCTCCAATAA